GGCTCCTGTCTCAAAAAAAAAAAAAAAAAAAAACAGAGACCTACTTCATTCTTTTTAACAGCTATAGAGTTTTATATCAGACATGCATTTGATTTTTTTAACCAATCCCCTTTGATAGATTTGTAGATTTCTTTGTTTTTCTCTTACACACAGAGCTGCATGAAAGTCACTATATATCAGCTTTGCATGCTGTGGATTTCTGTAGCATCAGTTTAGAAAAGGAATTGCAGGATCAGAAATCTTTTGAGAAAAAATAGAACTTTTGTAAGAATGGCTCTACTCTTGCTCCGTACTGATAGCTTACTCTAACCTGTGCTCAAATGCTGATGAATGCAGATTTGAGGATCACATTAGGTGAGCAGTGAGTAGTGTTTCAGTTTAATTCCTAAGAAAAATCAGAAACAATATATTGATCTGAAAACCTAAAAACAAGTGTGAGCAGTGAGGGCCTTTATGCATAATTGACATCTGTGAGACCTTGCAGAAGTGGAAGAACCAATGAAAGAGCCTGTTGCCAGGCTACAAACTCCAGCGGAAGCAGAAGAGATGGGTGGACAGCGCGGGTGTCTGGCTGTGTGTAAAGGACAATATAATAACAGTAATAATCTTTCACATTTGTTCCACACTTTACAGTTTACACTGGGCTTTACATCCGTTTTCTAATTTAAGCTGCACAATACCTTGTACAAAAATCTGAACAGCCAAAAATATACCAGAGAATTTCTGTAGGTGGACATTCTAGATTCAAAAAAAACACTATTCTGGGAAGAGCAGTAGCCTACACTGGACAAGACCCACTGACTGAGCCAAAATGTTAAGTGAGACCAAGGAAGGTACAGAAGTAGACTAGATAGCCTCACCAGGCTGAGCGGGGACAGTTTTCATTAGCCACCAGCTGATTAGCTTCTTCCCAAGAATGTGGAATGGATCCACATTGGAGCCACCTGGAGAACTTGTGAATGTGCAGAGCCCTGGTCTTACCCCCCAGAGATTCTAACTCAGGGGGTTGGAAGTAGAGCCCAGAAATCAAGCATTTAAACAAGCTCTCTGGTGACGATGATGCGCAACCAAGTTTGCAAACCGCTGTTCTGCAAGTCTCTGAGAACTGCAGCTGGAGAATTTTACCCTGTGGATCCACAGTCAAGTGGGAAGAGAAAAAGATCAACCAATCTGATTGAGTAGTCTAGTGAATAAGTGTTTTGACAAAGAGGGATCTTCCTATGAATGTAATTTTCAAAAAAATACACACACACACACACACACATATTTACAAAGTTCCACTCCAAAAGTTGTTTTACAATATTCTGAATGGGGATTTGGGGCATGTGTTGCCATGGACAGAGTCTTGGCGTGGAGAGGTCACTCTTTTAGAAAGGAACAGATCCTGCACTTAAAGCAGAGGACCCTGGGTAGGGGCCCCGCTCAACTGCCTCCCAGTATATGACCTTAAACATATGATCTCATTTCTCTGAGCCTCACTTTCCTCTTTCTGAAAAATGGCTGTGACAGTGTCATTTCTCTATTTCTGCGATCTCCTTTCATCCTTCTCGTATAGTCTAGTCTTTTAGTCTGAGTTGGCACTCAGCCTGTATGGAATTTCTTCTCTCAATCTTTCTTTATGTTCCCAGATTGCTCATAGAAGCCAAGAATTTATAAGCTTTTATGCACATGTTTATGTTTGCAGGAATAATTATGACATATTTGGGAGACATATATGGGGGTACAAAATTTAGCTATTTACACGAGCTTCCTACTTATTATTCTTATCTGGAAATGTTTGAAGTCTTTATTGTCTCTTTTCTGTCATCTCTTTTTTTCTTCCCTAGCGAATGGATTCATGAACTAGCCTTCCAGCTAAGCACTTAAGTAACCCACAAAAATGTTCGCCAGCCTGTTTGTTCATATTCATACATGACCTTTCTTGCCACAACATTTTTACCTTTTTTACTGTTCTTGTTCCCTTGGCTTAACTCTGTAATCACCTTGGTTGTAAATACCGATGCCTGCCCTGGAAGCTGAAATCTCGTAAAGTAAAAAGTAGAAAAATATGAAAATAAGAAGGCTAGGCCATCATGGAGATTGAGATTATAGACTTTTCTACATCTATAACTAAGTGGATAGTTAATCCAACGAGAACAACAATGGTCGCACTGGAGATTTCCCCTACTGAATGTCTGGAACTGCACCATGTTAAAACTGATAAGCACTGAACCCTTTTTCCATTCCTTTGTAGTGAAAACATTGTTCAACCCAGCTCCTGCCATTGCTGACCTGGATCCTCAGTTCTACACCCTCTCAGATGTGTTCTGCTGCAATGAAAGTGAGGTAAGGATGAATCACTTTGGTCATTCTGTGAGAACGTGAAGGACTTTTACGCAAGTGGATAAAGCAGAGAGGCAGAACTAACCACATCAATCTGATGACATGTGAATTCTTAGGCTCAGTGAAAACAGATTTTTCATTGTACTGGGATGTGTTACTGAGTCACCCCCATAATCTGGCACATATCAAACCTCAGTTATTTTTGTCTCTTCCCTGCCCTCACATTATTGGTCTTTTCTTTTCTAATTATTTCATATTCTGTAGACTAATTAATAGCAAAGTCACCAGGTTTAGCAAATTAAAATACAGGACGCCCAGTTAAATTTGAATTTGAGATAGATAATGAATAATATACCTAATATACTTACACTATAAAATTATTTACTGTTCATCTCAAGTCCAAACTTAAATTTAAGTTTTTTAATTTGGCAATCCTAATTAGTATACAAGCCCTGGAGCATTTGCTACTTCCTATAGTGACAGTCCTATGACAGCCTTGGTGGACAGATGTAGGTTCTTCACTGACCATGGAAAAGACCTTGGTGGCCTCTCCATTAAAGGCATATCTCAGTCCATCTGAGTGTCCTAATACATGCCTCTGCACAAAATATCTATCAACATGTTGATCTTGTACCACTCAAGCATTTTTGGGAAGAAAATGCCAATATTTCTCTCTTTTTATGAGCCAGACAGCTTTAGACCAGAGCTTGCTCCCATAATTATGACACAAGTATACACACTGGTGAATATAACATGCAGAGAAACTAATTAATGAACCACAATAGGCCATTTTCCATTTGTTTTAAGGGATGAAGATTTCTAGGATTTCTTGACCTGCTTTCTTGATAATTTTAACTCTTAGAACACAGAGGAAACAAGACAGAAGACTGCTACAAGGAAACTAATTTTAATCACAATTAAGTTATGCAATATTTCTGAGCAACCACCATGTTAGGAAAAAGGAATTGTGAGAAACAGTGACCATTTCACAATAAGGGGTTAGATCACCCTCAACTGCCACACTGGCTTAAATTTCCCTGTTAGTTACTTAAAGAGCACTCTATTCCTCAAATATTCATCACAGCTCAAATTAATCATTTCTTCTGGCTTCTCCATTAAATTGCAAGTTCCATGAGGACAGAGACATCTTATTCACTGTTCTACCCCCAGTGGCTATCTCTGTGTATATAGTTATCTATTGCTGCATCATAAATTACCCCCAAAATGTAGTGGCCTATAATAACAATAATTATTTATTGTTACTAGTGGTTTCTGTGCATCAGAAATTCAGACAGGCACAACAAGGCTTGACTCTGCTCTACTCTGTTCTGCAATGCCTGGAGCTTCAGTAGGAAGACTCAAAGGCTGAGGCCTAGAACCATCTGAAGTCTTCTTCACTGACAGGGTTTACTGTTGATGCTGGCTGTTGACTTAGGGCATAGTAGGTCTGTTGGGTAGGATACTTACACATGGCCTCTACTTGTGACCTAGGTTTCCTCACAACATGGTATCTGGGTTCCACAATCCAGCATTCCAACAGAGAACGCCAGGTGGAAGCTATGTTAGGTTTTATGACTTAGCTTCAGAAGTCACACAGCATCACGTCTGCCCCTTTTTGATTGAAGCAAGAAGTTCCACCCTGGTACCCCACCTCCCAATAGAACATTGTCATTTCACAGTGTAAAAATAGTATATACTAAAAAAAAAAAAAAAAAAGTAGTATATACTATATGACATAATAGTTGCCTTTGGAAAATAATACCTGCTAAAATGTGCCTGTACATAGTTGGCACCTAGTAAATGCTTATTAAATAAGTGAATGCATGAACAAATGGATGAGCTCTAGTCTTTAAGGAAATCAGTCTCAAAAACTTAATGGAAAAAAGAAAAACATGAAAAACTTAATGTTGGCCAGGTGCAGTGGCTCATGTCTGTAATCCTAGCACTCTAGAACCTGTCACTAAAAATAGCTGGGTGTTGTGGTAGGCGCCTGTAGTGTCAGGTACTTGGGAGGCTAAGCCAAGAGATTCCCTTGATCCCAAGAGTTTGAGGTTACTGTGAGCTGTGACGCCGCACCATTCTACCAAGGGCAACAAAGTGAGACTCTATCTCAAAAAAGAAAAGAAAAGAAAAGAAAAACTTAATGTTCTTATGGATGAATTCAAATCATGATAGTAATGTAAATTAATACTCATGATACTCTCTATATTCTAAACACAAACCATTGATAAATAAATATAAAAAGAGACAATGAAAGATACTCACAAGCTCAAAAATAAGACACATAACTCCACAGACCAAAATGGAACAGCCTCACAGTGCATGAGCCCTTGAAATGCTGTTCACCAGCCTCAGAAGTGGGCAGAGGTGGTAGGAAATTTGCCTTGTATGGGTCATGGGCACTAGAGTGTGCCACTCACAGGAGACTAGAATAGGGCCCACTGTTAGAAACCATACATGCTGGGCTGTGGTCCCCTGCTGACAATAACAGGCAGAGGAATCTGCTACCCCTGCTGCCTGAGTCTACAACATAGTAAAGGCTCCCAACATGAAGAGATAGGAGGATGGAAACAGCAGGAAATAAGCCAGGCCAACCACTGCTTAGTGACTGGATTGGCAATACCCCATAACAGCAGAACAAGCACTCCATGTTGCCAATATAACCTGGCTCTGGTTTACAGACCCTCACGTGCCTGGTGGATGCAACTACACAACCGCCAGAAAGGCAGGAATAAGCCAGGTGGGAGCTGCAGTGGGAAGACTTTCCAATTCAGAGTGAGCCAGGCAAGCCTGCAAACAAGGAACATGATGTGACAGAACTTGCCCAACAAAATCAACAATCTAAAGAGGAATTCACCCAAGATGAAACTCAAATAATAAAACAATGAGGAAAGACTCTAAAATAAGTATGATTATAATTAGCATTCATTAACGAAGAAGAAATTATGAAAGAAAAACAAAACTGAACCAACATTATATGAATATGAGATACAACCAATTAGAAATCTTGAAAATGCAAATAGTCATTAAACTTTTTTTAGAGACAGAGTCTTACTTTGTCACCCTCAGTAGAGAGCTGTGCTGTTACAGCTCACAGCAACCTCCAGCTCTTGGACTTAGGCGATTCTCTTGCCGCAGCATCACAAGTAGCTGGGGCTACGGGTGCCCGCCACAATGCCCGGCTATTTTTTTCCTTTTTTTTTTTTTTTTTGGGACAGAGCCTCAAGCTATCCCCCTGGGTAGAGTGCCGTGGCATCACAGCTTATAGCAACCTCCAACTCCTGGGCTCAAGCGAGTCTCCTGCCTCAGCTCCCCAGGTAGCTGGGACCACAGGCGCCCGCCACAACGCCAGGCTATTTTTTTTTTTTTTGGTTGTATCCATCATTGTTGTTTGGTGGGCCCAGGCTGGATTTGAACCCACCACCTTAGATGTATGTGGCTGACACCTTAGCCACTTGAGCCACAGGTACCAAGCGAGCCCGGCTATTTTTTTGTTGCAGATTGGCCAGGGCTGGGTTCGAACCAGCCACCCTTGGTATATGGGGCTGGTGCCCTACTCACTGAGCCACAGGCGCTGCCCAGTCATTAAACTTTTTTTAAAAATCACTCATTGGAAAAATAAACATGAGATTGGTATGAAGAATTAGTAAATTGAAAGAGGATTTTTACCAATTTACCTAAAGTTAGAAAACCCAAATCACCTCGAAAGGAGCACAGATGGTAAAGGAAATTTTAGAGAAAGCTTGAGAGCCTTCAATACCTCAAACTGGAGTGAAAGAAGGAAATGGAGGGAACTGAAGAGAGTATCAATATTAGAGGAAAAACTGCTAGATGTTTTCTAGATTTGAAAAAAGCCATGGGCCCTCAGGTCAAAATATTACAAAAACTCATATAAGATAAATATAACTCTGTGCTTACATACATTTTAGTCAAACTGTTTAAATTCAAAGATAAAGACAAAAATATTTTTTAAAAGCCAGAGGAAAAAAGACAGGTTCCATATAATTGATAAGAATATTGAGTACTTCATTGCTTGCCAAAGAGGAAAATGGATAAAACCTAAGTGTCCACTAAAAGGAAAATAGATTTTATTTAAACTCTAGTGTATTTGCAGTATACTGTATGGTTTTTTATAAGGAAAGAAAGAGAGATACTTATACCAACATGAAATACATAATGTTAAGAGAAAAAGCACATTGCTTAATAATATAGAGGGAAGATATCATTTAACTTATTTTAAGAAAAAATATCTGAAGCAAATAAGGTAAAATGTTAAGACTTAGTAAAGGTGGATGGTTGGTATGTCGATGTTTGTTGCATTTGTTTACGTTAAAGATTTTTATAGTAAAGAATATTTTTAAGCTGGGTGCAGTGGTTCATGCCTATAATACTAGCACTCTGGGAGGCCAAGGCAAGTGGATTGATTGAGCTCAGGAGTTTGAAAGCAGCCTGAGCATGATTGAAACCTGTCTCTACTAAAAATAGAAAAATTAGCTGGGCATTGTGGCAGACACCTGTAGTCTCAGCTACTCTGGAGGCTGAGGCATTAGGATCACTTGAGCCCAAGAGTTTAAGGTTACTGTGAGCCTTGATGATGCCACGGCACTCAACCCGAGGGCAACAGCGAGACTTTGTCTTTAAAAAAAAAAAGGAAAATTTTTAAAAGGTTTTTAGAAGACACAAATTAGTGTTTCTGAAAATAGACCATTCAACTCAACAGACATAGGTGATCCCAGTAATGAAGATCAATGCAAAACTTATTTTAAAAAAAAGAAAAAAAAAAAACAGTGGCTACACAGTATAACCAGTTCAGACTGATAGGGTCTGTGCAAGAGATGGCAAGAAGGGCATGTGGTCAGGGTTGTGAAGCCTGTGCATTTTGGGAAAGCAGAAGCCTGGAGTGAGTAGGCACTTGTGGTATGATTTATACACAACAGAAAGGGTTAACTTCAAGGACAAACACCAGAAGGCCTAGAACCATTCTTAGGAAGAGATAGCACATGGTTAAAGTGTCATGCAGAAAAGACAAAATTTAGTTACACATTTTTTGATCAAAAAGTATCATATAACTTATCTAGTCCAGTGATTTTTGGACTGCCTATCTCAGAACCATAGAGATGCAGGAGTTTCCTGGGAGTCAAGGGAGCAGGGTTAGAGCCCTACTCCAGCAAAAGATCTTTTTATATTCTGGGAGAGAGGTACTGATTCTGTTGGCCTCCCCTCATTTTACAAATTGTAAGTGATTTGGAGAAGGCACAGAATTAGTGAATAGGAGAAGTCTCCTGAATGCCACTACATTGCTTTTTCTGCTACATAACAATGCCTCTCATGTACTGCTTCCATTTTCTCTGTCAAAAACAAAGGAAATGAGTAGCCTGAAATCATGGAAAGCTACAACTATCAATAGCAATGTGAGAAAGGCCGTGTAGCCCAAGAGAGGCCTGGGAGAATTAGGTGCTAAAATTTATAGGTGCAATTTATACCAAAATCATTGGCAATGGCCCTGTCCTTCCTCCTCCGTAATGTTCCTTTCTTTTCTTTTGTAGAATTCTCTTTGTTCCCCCTAACTCTTCATTATGAAAATTATCATATGTCCAGGACAGTTGAAAAAGCAATACAGTGAACACCCCACCTTCCCCCTAAATAGTTAACTTTTTGTTATATTTGCTTCTCTCCTTCCCTGTATGTATTTTTTTGTTTTTGTTAAAAACTAAGTAAAAGCAAATAGATTTTGTTTTTGTTAAGAGTAAACTACAGATAGTATGATACCTCACCCCTAAATTAGGGTGACCAGACGTCCCGATTTTGGCGGGACAGTCCTGCTTTTCAACAGTTTGTCCTGCGTCCCGCGGTGTTTTAAAAAAGTCCTGATTTTTGGAAAGAATGCACGAACGGGCTGGAGAACAAGAAGGGAATATACGGTTTTCGGCCGCCATAGGGCTATTTCGCCAGAATATGAGTTTTATATTATTTTTGTTAATTTTATAATGTTAAACTATAATAAATAATTGCTGAGAAGTGATTATTGAGAACTGCTTATCAAAGTTTGCCTTGTTGTCAGGCTCTGCCCAGCGCCGTCCCCGCCCCCCGCCATGTTGTCCCGCCTTACAGATGTTAGAATCTGGTCACCCTACCCTAAATACTTCAGGGTACCTCTCCTAGGAGGAACCACAATACCATTGTCATCACACCTAAGAAGATTATCAGTAATTCCATAGTATCATCTGATATCCAAGCCATATTCAGAGTTCCCCAGTTGCCCCAAGAATGTCTTTTATAGCTAGTTTTCGTTGTCATTGTTATTGCTGTGTTTTATTTCTTTTCCTGTGCCAATATCCATCAGGATTCCTATTAATCAGTTCTTTTTTTTTTTGAGACGGAGCCTCAAGCTATCCCCCTGGGTAGAGTGCCATGGCATCACGCTCACAGCAACCTCCAACTCCTGGGCTCAAGCGAGTCTCCTGCCTCAGCCTCCCAAGTAGCTAGGACTACAGGCGCCCACCGCAACGCCTGGCCATTTTTTGGTTGCAGCCATCATTGTTGTTTGGCGGGCCCGGGCTGGGGATTCGAACCTGCCACCTTAGGTATATATGGCTGGCGCCTTAGCCGCTTGAGCCACAGGCCCTGAGCCTATTGATTAGTTCTTAAAAGAACCAAAAAGAAAAGGGAGACATTTTCCAAAAAATAAATACAATCTGGAAGTGCATCCAGGTTACTTATTTTCATCGCTGTGTCTTTTCACTTTTGTGTGCTTCAGGCTGAGATTTTAACCGGCCACATGGTGGGCAGCCCTGCGGATGCTGGAGAGGCTGCCTCAGTGCTCCTGGAAAGGGGCTGCCAGGTGGTAATCATCACCTTAGGAGCTGAAGGATGTGTGATGCTCTCACAGACAGAACCTGTCCCCAAGCACATTCCTACCGAGAAAGTCAAGGCTGTGGATACCACGGTAGGTTTTAAAATTTAAGAATCATTTTTACACCTTTGAAAATCATTATTTAGTAATCTAATTAGACACTGCACCTAAATATTTGGATGAGATAAAGGCCTATGTCACAGAGGGGTCCAACCTTTTTTCTTTGCCATACATTGAAAGAATGAGAGTTGTCTTAGGCCACACATTAAATATACAAACACTAACGTAAAGCGCAGGCTCAGCACCTGTAGCTCAGCGGCTAGGGCACCATCCACATACACTGGGGCTGGCGGGTTCAAACCCAGCCTGGGCCTGCCAAACAATAATGACAACTACAACAACAACAACAACAAAAATAGCCGGGCATTGTGGTGGGCACCTGTAGTCCCAGCTACTTGGGAGGCTGAGGCCAAAGAATCGCTTAAGCCCAAGAGTTTGAGGTTGCTATGAGCTGTGACACCATGGCACTCTACCGAGGGCAACATAATGAAACTCTATCTCCAAAAAAAAAAAAGCTAAGGAGCAAAAGAAAAGGTCTGTGCATACTTTTCACAATATCCAACACCACAGATAAGCAAAACAGTCCTTAGATAATCTGCATGTGGCCTGTGGGCTGTGGGGTGAACCCTCCTGATCGGAGGTGATACGTTAGAAGAGAACAAACAGGCTCGGCGCCTGTGGCTCAAGCGGCTAAGGCACCAGCCACATACACCTAAGGTGGCGAGTTCGAATCCCCAGCCCGGACCCGCCAAACAACAATGATGGCTGCAACCAAAAAATAGCCGGGCGTTGTGGCGGGTGCCTGTAGTCCCAGCTACTTGGGAGGCTGAGGCAGGAAACTCGCTTGAGCCCAGGAGTTGGAGGTTGCTGTAAGCTGTAATGCCACGGCACTCTACCCAGGGGGACAGCTTGAGGCTCTGTCCAAAAAAAAAAAAAGAAGAGAACAAACAATCAGGCAAGAGGACTGTTTCTTAATCCCTCTCTAACTCACTGTGGGACTTTGTGCAACGAATTTAACTTCTTTGAGCCCCATCCTCATCCTTAAAATCAGAATATTAGTAAAATTATACCTGTTTTACATATGTTTATTCATTTATTCATTCTTTTAATAAACAGGTATTTATTGAATGTGTGCCAGTTGTATGCTAGGTGCTAGGGAGATAGTAATGAACAAGACAAAGTCTCTGCCCTCGTGGGGCTTAGATTCTAGACAGTAAACAGGTAGTCACATCTTACAAGCTTCTCATGTGGAATGGATGGCAAGGAGCACTGGTTACCAGAGTTCATTCTTTTAGCCAACAAATAGTAATAGCTAACATTACTGCATGCTTGCTATGTCTCTTTCACCAAACTCATGTAATCTTTACAACAATTATAGGAGGCAGGTACTATTATAATCCTCATGTTACTGAAGAAACTTGCTCAGGCTCGCATTGCCAGTAACAGAGCAGGGGGTTCAAAACAAGGTCTGTCCATAGACATTTTTTAGGGTGGCACCTGTGGCTCAAAGGAGTAGGGCGCTGACCCCATATGCCGGAGGTGGTAGAGGTCAAGCCTAGCCCCAGCCAAAAACCACAGACATTTTTTATGTAAGGTACTGTGTTAAGGACAAGTGTGTTAAGTAGATAAGTCATGGTACAGAGTAGAAAGGAAAAGAAATAGGTTAGAAAAAAGGTACATCCTACTCTTAAAGCTAGAGAAATAAAGTTATTTATTTATTGTTACAGTAATTAATTCAAGAGCTCGCCAGGTACCACACCTGTAATTGTACCACTTTGGGAGGCCAGAGTAGAAGAATAACTTAAGACTCCATCTCTGCAAACAAATACAAAAATTAGCCAAGTGTGGTGGCACACGTCTGTAGACTGAGGCAGACGGTCGCCTGAGCCCAGGAGCTTGAGAGAGAGACCCTGTTGCAAAAAAAAGAATTCAGAAAAAGTGACTAGAAAAGTACATAAACTTCAGGGATGGCTCGGTGCCTGTGGCTCAAGTGGCTAAGGCACCAGCCACTTACACCTGAGCTGGTGGGTTCGAATCCAGCCCGGCCCGCCAAACAACAATGGCAACTGCAACCAAAAAATAGCTGGGCGTTGTAGTCCCAGCTACTTGGGAGGCTGAGGCCAAAGA